GAGACTAACAAATTTATTAGAGCATAAGCTTTCGTGGACTACAGCCCACTTCTTCGGATGCATAATGAAGAAGTGGGCTGTAGTCCACGAAAGCTTATGCTCTAATAAATTTGTTAGTCTCTAAGGTGCCACAAGTACTCCTGTTCTTTTTGCGGATACAGACTAACACGGCTGCTACTCTGAAACCTGCTTATTGGAGGGTGGCTCAAAGAACTTACAGCAGGTATGGAAACCATATTTCAAGTTCCCAAATAGAGGACACTGCCGGGGAACCCTATTCATAGGTCCTTGTGGTGACATAGTTTAACTTCACCTTTTGGAAAGTACTGATGCTATGTCTGTACATTATTATATTTATATCCTTATCCAGAGCTCTCAACATGCCAGGGGTCACATGTATATCTAGGAAGGTACAAGAAAAAGGTAACTTCGTGATTCAGCAGGAGTATTAAAACTTCAAGTTTTTTTTAAATGCGGAGACTTAAATGTACCCTTGCTGGTTAAAAGTCTGAGGGAAACTTGAGAGGCCAAATTTATTTGTTTGGCCAGCCACCCACCCCACCTTGGGGAAAACTGAGTGCAATTTCATTCACTTAATAGGTACACCGACAAGGAGATAAACACTTGTTCAAATTCTTTCCTTCTTTCTAGAGGGACTTTCAGGCCCTGCCAAGGCCCTTTACAAGTTGACAGCAAGGGCCATGCCAGAGTGTAATGAAGATCCTATGAGCTAAGACATCAAAACTGAAGAGACCAAGTCACTGTCCTGCCACATTTTTACCGGTTTATGATAGTTAAAAAGTTTTAGGTGTATCAAGCATGGAGCAATGGCAAACTCAAACACATACTGTACTTTATGTATCAGGAGGGGTAGCCGTGTTAGTTTGAATCTGTAAAAAGCAACAGAGGGTCCTGTGGCACCTTTAAGACTAACAGAAGTATTGGGAGCATAAGCTTTCGTGGGTAAGAACCTCACTTCTTCAGATGCAAGTCATCTGAAGAAGTGAG